GTATCTTCCCAAAGATTCTGCTCTGCCCTTATTCTAATTAAACTTCAGTTCAGCAGAAAGATTACTCTTCATTCTACCTACATCATCATCTTTTTTTTCTTTTTGAGAGACTTTTGCTATAAGGCCTATGTACTTGTCAGAGAGACAGAGACAGAGAAGGTGAGAAATCACTCCCTGGGGGGATAGCTGTGCCACAATCCCTCCTCCTCTTGGGATTTTGGGCATGCGCACACATGCACCTGGTATGAGTTTCAAGCTGTGAGGTCTGGGATTCCAACCGCAGTTAGCCAGGTGGGAGTCCAGCGCCTTAACCACCACATCAACTCCTGGCCCCTCTACCCACATCTTCTAAAGGACACAGTTTGATGTCATTATTATAGGAAGAAAATGGCTTGAGTTGGATGTCTCAGCCAACCCAAAGGTGTTCAGACAGGCCAACTTTGTGACTCCCAACTACCCGGTCAGTCTGCTTTGTCTAGTCAGATCTGGGGCAGATGGGCCCATGGAAGTCAGGCACTGGTCTTGGAACTGGTGTTAACTTGGTGACCCAAACCCAGGCCTGATTATGTCTCATGAGGCCTTCCAGTCACCTGGCTGTCTGTGGATGAGCTGAGCTTGAAGCAACTGTCTTCACCTCACTCTTTAAGACAAGCAGTTATCAAAGGCCCAGTTAAGACCGTGTCCACCAGGCGTCCTGCCTCCTGGTCTTCTCTCCGATTGTATCCCAACTGTCCTGTGTAATGAAGCCACTGAAAGTTACCTTTATCAGTGTGAATCCCTGGTTCTGAAGCTCCAGGGACTGTGGCCGCCTGAGAACAGTGTCGAATTTGGACCCCAGGCTGGTTGTAACTGGTCTGTCACTACCATCTTATAAACCATCCACTGCTGGCTGCTGGCTGCGTGGACTGCCTTACTTTTCTGGAGCGTGTCTGTTCCCTCGGGGCTTTCAGGCATTGCACTGCCCCTGTTTCAAGTGCTCTTTGACTAAAAGTTTCTTTTCAGTGTTACTGGCCCACTCTAACTGCCAGCCCTTCCGGCCTTTCAAGTTCTCACCATTTCTCTCCCTTCTTTCTCCGCCTTCTTGGCGCACTTAGGGACTCTTGCACTTTTTGTCACTTGTCATTGACGATCTCGAGTTCTTATCATTTCATGTAAATGTTCGCGTTCAGCTCACGGTAATGTCCACGCGCACCTTGGTCTCTCTAAGCACTTTCACGCGTCGTCGTTTCCTCTCTGTAAGGCCCAGTGGGGCTTCTGAGTGTCCACTTTACAGATGGGGACACCAAGGTCCAGTGAACGGAACCCTTTGGTTGGGCCGGGATGTTGTGTGTTAGGTGAAGGCTGAGGCTTGGCCCCCATTGCTGCTCCTTCGGGCCCTGCTTCCGGTCCCACGGTGAGACCATCCCGCACCAGCCCTCAGGACGCTGGTCCCTCTCCGAAGGCAGGCCGCGGATCTGATGTGCCAGGGTCTGGAAATACTCCTGGAGACATCTTGAGGACTTGCATAAAGGGAGGATAAGAATGGCCAGCGCAAGGAGGCCTTTTGTAGGTGCTGCCTTCCTTCCGGGAGGCGTTTGGCGGTTTGAGCTTCTCTGTCTGGGTCTTTAGTTCCCCATGGGTCGAGTGTGGGATTCTGAGCAGAGCCAGGTGTGCCCCATCTCAGACCCGCTCTGGCCCTCTGCACCCACCTGCCCCACCTGGCAGTGTGGCTTTGTGGTCAGCACGGCTGTAGGTTGGAGCACTGGCATGACATGCAGGAAGTCCCCATGCTCTTTGGTTGCGGCTCAACAGGGAATCACAGAAAGGGCCAGCCTTCAGGGCAGGCTGCTCTCTGCTTCCTCCAGTCAGTGCAGTGTGCACGCGCTGCTGTGCTCAGGGGCGCCGCTGGGTAGGGGTGTACGGACTCTGAGTCACTGTGTGCCTGTAGACGTGAACACTGGTGTGTGCTTAGGGCCGCCAAACATCATCTCCATTGTTTCTGAGTGTGAAAACTTCCCTGTGCGTGGTCCTTTTGGCTCCCCCCACTCCACTCTATTTCTTTTAACAAAAGTTCCTTCGAATCACGTATCTCCCAGATGCAAAGCTATCATCCTAGCTGTGCAGTGGACGTGGGGACGCCCTCCATGGCTAGCAAGCGTGTTGAATGTAGAACCTCCCTGTGTCCGGCACGCAGGACAACGACCACCAGTTTTCCTTCTTCCCCTACTGCCTGGTCCAGAGCAGGGAGGATGTGCCCTCACTGGTGGCGTCCTCTAGGCTCCGGGTGCCAGTCAGCCATCAGGCGAGCTGAATGGGGCTTGGCAAGCAAGGGTCTGGGTGTGGCCGTGTGCCCTTTCGCTCGTGGAGCATGGGTTAGCAGGCG